CAAAAAAAAAAAAAAAAACAAAAACAACTTTATAATAATGTTAAATTGGAAACAATCAAATGTCCAACATTAGACAATTAAGTAAATAAACTAATATGCTCATACAACTGAATCTTGTGCAGCCATTAAAATGATGTAGTGGATGAATGTTTAATGGTATGAACAAATGTTAGGATGTGTTACAGGAAAAAGAATCAACTTTTAAGAGACTATATACTGTATGCTCATTTTTGTCTAAATGAAAACATGTATGTACATACATACATAGAAAAGAGATGAATAAATATACATCAGAATCTTAAAAATGGTTATGATGAGTTAACAGGTTGCTTTTGTTATATTTATCTGAATAATAATGATGATGATAGATAATACTTTTACAGTGCTTACTATATACAAGGTACTGTTACATGTATTATATACATGACATAGGTAAACTCTGACAGTAATCTAAATTTTCAACAATAAAAAACTTTTTTCATATATAAAAATTTCATAATGTAAAAAGCATTTAAGAAAAAGATAATAGAGATAAAAGCATCATTTGGAATTATGGAAGTAACTATCAGCAGAACTAAAAGCAGACTAAAGCTTTTCTTCATAAGCTCTTGTTTATATGAGATTTATTGCTGTAAGCATGTATTAATTTGACTTAAATAATAATAAATATGCACAAGAAATAATACTTGTCCTTAATTTTTTTTCCATTTTTGACTCAGTTTTGATTTTAAATTCCAACAGTGAGATGCAAAGAAAACATAATTTTTTTGGAATCTGTGGTTTAGCTAAACAAAATCATTTTTGCTTCACCACAGCAGTATACATTCTACCAAAATAGCTTAACAATTTAAGAAAATGAATGCATACCTCCTGGGAAAAGGGGAGTAAGAGGGTTTATGGACATAGTTACAAATGGGAAATTGACTGTCATTTTGTATGTTAAATTCATGAAATTCACATTCCATTCTATATATTTGCTTTATATAAAAATGTTTTCAATTTCTTACCATCCAAAAAAATGCTGAAGATCCAGAAGTATGTCATCTTCGTTCTTTTCATAACTCCATCATCTTGCCTAGTATGGATTACATGTGTTCTATTTTCTGTAAAGGGCCAGATAGTAAATATTTGGGGCTTTGCAGGCCATATGGTTTCTGTCACAACTGCTCAACTCTACCAGTGCAGCTTAAAGACCATCTAGGTCAAATATTTAACTGACATAGTGTTCAAATACAAATTATATAATATAAACTGCCACAGAAAAATTTTTTGGTCTTAAAAAGATCTCACAACTTTTATAGAGTAGGTGGAAGACACACAACTTGGCTAACTTGGACGTATCTTTCCCCTTTGCAGATCTGTCCAGCTCAATGGTCAAACTCTGAAGATGGTGGATGACCAAACCCTGCCAGCTTTGACAGAAAAACCTCTCCGCCCAGGAAGTTCACTGGGCCTGCCAGCTCTCTCATACGGATTTTTTGTGATAAGAAATGCCAAAGTTGCTGCTTGCATCTGAAAATGAAAGACATATACTAGCCCAGAGACTGAATTTTTCAAGTGCATTGATAAGAGGAAAGCAAAACCCAGGCTGTAGGAAGGCAAGCAGATGCATTAAAGATGAACTGGTGACTGCTTTAGGGCCACTAGGACACTCTCAGTGCTAGATTAGCACAGTATTTTGTTCTAAGTAGACCACTGTTAATAGTAATACCTAGTTCCAAACGCTATGTTTGTATTCTGCATGTACTACTTTTATTTAAGATTATTAAAAATGTATATAAATACTCCCAATACAGCCAGGGGGCAAGTAAGTGAAGGATATATTATTAGGTTTAAGAAAGTGTTTAGTTGTTTTTATTTTTTAAAAAAACCAGTTATAAGAAGATTGTCAGATTCTTTCCTCCATATGCTTTCCTCCCGTAGGGCTGCTGTCAGAAAAAGTTTACTACCACAACCTTCAAATCATCTATAAAAGAGAGACAATCTCTTTGCAGCTTAACAGAGAGCTAAATTCAGCCACTGCTTCACTTCCCTCTGTTCTGTTTGTCTCTGTCAGCAATACTGTGTGAGAGGACAGATGGTTAGATGTGATAGCACAAAAAAAAAAACAAAACGATTAATGGCAATTTGAAGGGAAGGGATTATGTAAACTTCAAATGAAATAAAAACTGACTGTAAGTGAAATTGATTTACCAAGAGGAGAAAATTTAATTCAATACACTGTAAGCATCTGTTAATGTTTACCTTTAATCTACCTTAAATTCTTGTTTTAGTTGGCTGCAAGTAACAGAAAACCCTGATTCCAATGGCTTAAACCACCACACATTTATAATCCCACATAACAAGAAGTTCAAGTAGGGTGAGCTCCACTGCTCAGTATGTCATCAAGGAATCGGTTTCATTCCATCTCTCTGCTCTGTCACCTTTAGTATTGGCTTCATCCTCAAGCTGGTTTCACGATGGTTGTAGCTATTCCATGGGCCCATTCAGACCTGGCAGCAGCCAGAGAAAGAAGATGAACAATTTTTTCTGTCTCCTTCATAGACTTTTGAAGGACCCTTTCTCAGAGGTTCTCTCAGCAAAACTCTCCTCATGTCTCCTCGTGTCATGGTCGCATGGCCATTCTCCCCAGTCACTGCCACCATCAGTGAGATTCCTCCAATTGTCTCCTAATAATCTTTTGGAATGGAGAGGGTGTTGGGAAGTCTATAACACTGACCACTACTGTTCTGTGCTTTTATCAGTAACAGAATGTATTATTTTCTCCTGTGTCTTAATTCTTAGAAATATAATTCTCCTTATATTTATGCCTGCTATGAATATTGTCTCAATTAAGTACATTTATAAGGAACTAAAGTACATTTATAAGGAACTAAAGCTGAAACTTAAAGTTTGGATGCTTTAATATCCTTAAATTTTATATGTAAGTAATTTTTATATTTTCACATTTGAAATAAAGTAACTTTTATAACCTCAATATTGCATGATTATTCTTTTTTTTAATTTATTTACTTATTTTTGGCTGTGTTGGGTCTTCGTTGCTGCGCGTTGGCTTTCTCTAGTTGTGGCGAGCAGGGGCCACTCTTCGTTGCGGCACTGCGGCGGCTTCCGTGTTGTGGAGCACGGGCTCTAGGCCCGCAGGCTTCAGTAGTTGTGGCTCGCGGGCTCTAGAGCGCAGGCTCAGTTGTAGCACGGGCTTAGTTGCTCCGCAGCATGTAGGGTCTTCCCGGACCAGGGATCAAGACCGTGTCCCCTGCGTTGGTAGGCGGATTCTTAACCACCGCCCCACCAGGGAAGTCCTTGATTATTCTTTCAATAAAGCTTAAGCCTACAGATCCCTTGTTTCCTTCAGCACTTTGTTTACACCTCCTACCTTTATTTGTCCTTTCAGCCTCTCCCATACCGACTTGACCTTGAAGAAAAGAGATCATCAGGCACAAACACGATTTCCTCCCTCATCATGTAGATTCAATCATGATCAGTGTTCGGTCCTATCTATTTTTCTTTTCTCTAACCCCTCCTTCACTTAATAAATTCAAGGCCCATTTTTTCACTTGTATTATTGTAATAATTTTCTAATTGTTCTTCCTGACTTTGCTTAAAATTCTTAAATTTTGCTTAAAGTTTGCTTAAAAATTAAAATGGCTCTCCATTTCCTATAGCATATAAGGTCCTCCATAACCTGGCACCTGCTGTTTTCTTCAGCCTCAATTCTTGCTACTTTCCCCATGAATTCTTCTCTCCACCCACACATCGGTTGAGCAGTCCAGACACACAGCCTCTTTTACCTTTTGCTCCTGTAACTTCAGTACTGCTCCTTCTGCTCTCCACCTGGACTCTTCTCTCCTCTCTATGTGGCAAACTTTCATATTTATTAAGACCCAGCTCAAACAGCAGTTTCAATGCCACCCCTATCATTCAAGTAGCTTTAGTCATATTCTCTGCTCCTATAGCAGTTTGGACATTTACTGTGGCACTTATGATACATCTAAATTGTGTCCATATATCTTTCTAATTTGACTCTAAGCTTATAAGAAAGAAGTTCAATATCTTAATCATCTTTGTATTCCCTATGCTCAGCACATTGTCTGGCACACAGTAGCCATTCAGATGTTTCCTTAATGACAGAGAAGAACGTTCAAATTTGAAACTAGCTTAGGTAGTTTGATTTTGAGTATACAGAAAAACTGAGTGATGTTTCAAACCTCAAAAAGTATTGCCTGATAACTTCAAAAAAATTTTTAAAAATTATCACTAGAAGGTTTTTACTGTGGTGGGTGGTTATATGAAGAACAGGGGCATAGTTATGTGAAGAAAGGAATGCTCTCAGTTGTATATTAATGAATATTAAATGCATTATTAATAAATAGGGTTTTTTAAACTTTTTTAGAGGAAGCTTCTTGCCTGTCACATTAGTGAGACTTTTTGAGCCCATATGATTTCATTAATTTATTTAATCAATCAAATATATTTCTTTTCTGCAACTAATTATATTGGCTCAAAATTACATCTGTCTTTTAGTTTGGCCCTTGTGATTCACCTCATCTACACGATAATGGGAATTACCAACTCCTGCTGTGAAACTTGTATGTTCGGGGCTTGTCAGTTCTGTAATTGCACCCATTTTCTTTTTTAAAACTTCTGATGTGTCTCATCAACCTATTGAAACACCTCATGGTTGATAAGTCTTTTAATTATCCTTCTAACCAGAATTTTGATGACCAACCAAACTAACATAAATACCAATCTATTTTATCTGATAATGCAATACAAAATCAAAGCAGTAGTATTCAAAATTAAATGGTAGTATAATAAATAATTAGTTTCAACTGTAGAAGAAAATATTACCAATGATATCATGTGCAGACCAACTTATATACTGTGTGCCTTAGAAAAATATGGTGTGAACATTCCCATGCTCACTCCTTCCCTGGGTCAGAGATTTGTGGTTTTTTTCAAGGATAAGGTACTCCTGTCTTCTCCTTTTCCAATTTTATACCATTCTCAATTCTACAGACTTATGGGTTAGAAAGCTCTAGAGCAAGTTAGATACTTAAATATTTAACAGTATTTTTAAAAAAATCTTCCCTATCATTGTCATTAAATGCTGTAAGTTTCTTTTTTTATATAAACTTATTTATTTATTATTTATTTTTGACTGAATTGGGTCTTCGTTGCGTGTGGGCTTTCTCTAGTTGCAGTCAGCAGGGGCTGCTCTTCGTTGGGACGTGCAGGCTTCTCATAGCAGTGGCTTCTCTTGTTGCGGAGCACGGGCTCTAGGCATGCAGGCTTCAGTAGTTGTGGAGCGTGGGCTCAGTAGTCGTGGCACACAGGCTTAGCTGCTCCACAGCATGTGGGATCTTCCCGGACCAGGGCTCAAACCCATGTCCCCTGCATTGGCATGTGGATTCTTAACCACTGCGCCACCAGGGAAGTCCAAACACTGTAAGTTTTTATAACACCTTTGATTTAAGTTAAATTTGTTCCTTACTTTTATATATTTGATGATAGTCACTAGTTTTTAAATTGGTTCTTAGGTTACTTTATTAAATGCAACTTAACATATTTATTTCAATTCCCATAGACCTTTGAAAGGACAATAATAAGGCTAGTTTTCTGATTCTGCAGCCCTCCAAAATTAATAAGGCAAATTTGCATATTTAACATATTCTTCCTAACCACATTTAAAAAAAATTCTTATATATCTAATAAATCACACACAAATTTAGTAGATCAATCCCTAAGCATTTCAACATCTTAAAAAACAAATAACAGTGATAGCAAACCTATATAAATACAATTTGTAGGGCTTCCCTGGTGGCAGGAAGCCCTGTTCCGGGAAGATGCCAAATGCCGCGGAGCAACTAAGCCAGTGCGCCACAACCTCTGAGCCTGCACTCTAGAGCCCACGAGCCACAACTACTGAAGTCCACGTGCCCTAAAGCCCGTGCTCCGCAACAAGAGAATCCGCCACAATGAGAAGCCCGAGTACTGCAACGAAGAGTAGCCCCCACTCACTGCAACTAGAGCAAGCCAGCGTGCAGCGACGAAGACCCAACGCAGACAAAAAAATATAAATAAAATAAATTTATTTAAAAAAATACAATTTGTACAAAAATGTCATTTTCTTATGCCAAAGCTACAAATTTACTCCTCTGGCCAGAGTTAATAGAATTACCAATTCAGGTCCGCTACACCAAGTACGGTAACAATTAGCTTTTGATTACAGGGTCTATAAACAGGATATAGAACCACTCTTGTGTTGGGTTCAACCCCTTCCTATGCTTAAGTATCAGATGTTGGGGGTCATCTAAAGCAAAGGCTGAGACAAGGACTTGGGGTCCAGTAGTTTATTTGGGAGGTGATCTCAGGAAGCAGGTGTGAGAGATCAGGGAGAGTGAGATGGAGGAGAAGGAAAAGCCAGTACTTAGGTTTGTTGCTGAATTTGCTGCAATAGGCAATGAGAACTCAGCTCCACCAGTACCACTGAGAAACATGGATGCCTTTCATAATTTTTCTCTTATTATTCTCATATTTCTTAGCAGCTAT